ACCTAGACAGGAGGACGATTAGGGTCTTCAACCAAAGCCTTTGGCTCAAAAGCCTAACCGCAAGGCAGCGGTGTTTGGTGGGAAATGCAAATGCATTACCATTTCTACGGAACAAGTCGCCACATGTTCCAACCCCCAACCTGGAGGGCCAGGAGACTGTGTTCGTCAGACCTCTAACCATTGACCAACCTGGTATGAGAGACTCTGTGAGTGTCGCGGGACACTCTCCAGTATAGCTCAATGGATCGCTGAGGTGCGCAAACCGTCACACCACGGTAAGGTCCAGTCTCTTCGTGACGAACAGTTCAGTTTGACATATACTCGATGATTTCTTCGTCTAGCGAAGAAAGTACCTCAAACTTGCGCGTCTTAGTTAATTGACCTGGAATTGTGGCACCTCGATCGAAAAATATAAACCATCTCATCAGCAAAACGGTGTCCATCGCAACCGTTGCTCCGTTGGGTTCTAATGGGATCTGTTATCGTCTTCTCCATCCGCCTCAGCGAAATTTACTAACCTACTTTTCTTTATAGCAGAACAATTGGTGTTTATCGAGTCGCGCTTTTAAAAGTATCGCGCACACTACACCACGAAGTAACTGACTACTTAAGCTGTGACTGATGAATGGTGCAACAATGTAACGTACTTTTTTCCAAAAATTCTCATGACAGCGAGTCCAGTAGCTTTGTAATGCAAAAGTGAGATCGCCCTAGTTTCGAAACCGTTGCAGATGTTAAGTGACAGCTAGTTTCGATTTGGGAGATAACCATAGTCGTACCAGACAATCGGTCACTTATGATTTTCGCATGAACTGGGGGGGGGGGGTTCAGGCCGTTTATGGGTACACGTCCGAAATATTAAGCTCGAGATGGTTATGGTTTGAACCTAACCCGGGCAACTCGACCGCACCTGTTTAGGCTTGGGCAACCCGGCAGTATCTCAGCCCTGGCGCTTCTTTGGGGTTGTGTGGTAGCTAGGCACCGAAAGGGTGTCACAGTTGAACGGTCGGCCGTTTACAAACGTACTTTGGGAAACCTAGTTTGCCGTTCACTTTGGTCACTGCCAAAACAGTTGTAGTCCAACTACTTAATATACATCTTCCCTCTTCTTTACTCCTTACCGTGTCACTTCCGTTCGTTTAACTTTATTTAGCTGAATCCGATACACTTGTGATAGTATGCTTGCAGTTTCCAGTGGCACAACCTTAGAAATTTCAATAATGCATGTGTAGGTAGGGACTTGATGCCGTTTGTTTTCTCATGAAGGGATGGGAACTGCTTCATTAGTATGAAGAATTCCAGTGTTGGACAACAGACCATTATGCACGAAAAACAATTTCTGCTGAACTCTTAGGCTTGGTACTGTAGTCTTTACTCTCGTTTGGCCAGAGTTGTGCAGTTGACGGTTACGGGAACTGAAGTCCTACGAAACATACATCTAACTGATTCTCTGAGATTTGGAATTATGAACAATAGGTGTAGAAAATCAATCAATGAAGTAAATGGATTGAATGAATGAATGGATTGAATTGAAACTAATTCACATGCTCCGTTTTGCAAGAAGAGTGGCGAATGCCGTTCGGTGAAGTGGTTTTCGTTTGGGGAGGTGTGATCATTTTGAAACAGGCCATTTTTACTTTGATGAAACCATTTATAGGGGGTGGTATCAGTGGAGATGATCGTATCAGTGAGAATCGACCAGTACGTAAAAAGAACTCGAATCGGTGTACCTCTATTACAGAAAATAGGAATATTGGTGGGACTCATTTTAGTTCACAAACGCTGTCAATCGTATGTTCTGCTTGAACTCAAATTGTATATTACATCAAGAAAATACTACGGTATCTCGAATATCACGCCAACTGAAACACAATGCAGCCCCTGTGCAGCACATTTAGTTAAAGAACACTATAAACGAGGGATTCAGGTGAGATTCAGCTGAGTCTCTCGTGAAGACCGAATTTGTGTGCAGTTGAGTGTATTTTGCGAATTTCGTACATTTCAGGTTCACGTAGAGCATACGGTTGAGGGAAACCCGGGAAGTGCGCAAGAAGTGTGAAACCAGGCTGTCCGAGAGTTTTCCACGACCTCATGAGTATTGTTCATTCAAGCTTCTTTCTTACTTCAGTGAAGCCATTTGTAAGGAGTCCCTTGGAAGGTGGTCGTATGAATGGGAATCGACCGGTTCATGAAACAAGCGTAAATCATCGGTGCACAGGATAGGAATGTAAATGTGACACATTTTTAGTTACAAACATTGCCGCAGTGGTGGCGATCCTTAGTCTACGTATACCTGGCGGCAAAAATGTGTTCGAAGGTGCGCTGTTGCGTCTGAACTTGAGCGTTTCTATACACCACACCCTACTCAATGCATTTTGAACTCGAAAATTAAGCTTTGAGTGTGAAATATGACCGAACCCCCCGAAACCGAAGTCAGACTTGAGAGCTTTTTAATAGTAAACCCAGCTTAACTGAAATATGAGGTGATCTTTCTGCCATACGTCGACTTGATTAATACCGTAAATGGAAGACTCATTTAGGTCTCTTGCCAGCATCAATGTTATTTGCAAATGAGTGAATTTCGTCATTTACGAACAGCTTGGTCTTCCAGCCGTTCGAAACTTTGGGGTTGCGTCTACCTGATGAATTTCAAGAAGACTGGATAGAGTTTTCAGCACCCTCACGAGTAGTGTGTTCTATCGAGGTGAATAAAATCTACGGGTTTTGATAAGGAGATTTTGTCTAGTGGTTGCCGGAGGACGAAATCAGTTCACGACACAGCTAATTCATGGCTTGGCAATAAAGCATCAAGGCCATTATCAGTCACCTGAACTGTGGTGGTGACTGCTGTCTCCCTGGATGGGTACCACGGGATGAGACAAACTAATGGTTAATGATTCTGGCCGATATGGCTGTGTCATGCAGTCAGCAGTTGTCCTGAATCAAAGCTATCGATTTCACTGCGAAGCTCTCACTTATTGCCATACTGAACAAATAGATCCAGTTGATGTCACTGCACAGATTAGGCCGTCTCCTTGTTTTCCTTATTCTCAACGAACGAAGCTGTAGCATTGGGAACCATCGCACCTCAGTGCAAGGTTTGTGAGCTGAAAAATTGAGCTGAACTGAGCTTTCATCTGGACCATCACTTACCTTATGCGGCCACGTACTGCCGCTGTTGTTGCAGCATATGCTTCTGTTAGCTGTTGTTACGCTGTGCAGGGTTATTTTCCGTACACCGGTTGAGACAACGATGTCCTTCATGTGACTTGTCTATCATTATTCGCTTCTTCCTCCCTATGTAAGTGCGTTTATGAGTCGCACCCTGTTTTTTCTTCTAGATAGCTTCTTTTGGCCTTGAGCCTAGACGGCATCTCGGCGCGCATCTGTCAGATGTGGTATTGAATCTACGTGATCTTTCTCAGCCCCCCTGGTCGTTGAATATTTGTGGTGAAGGCGGAGAGTATGAGTCGTTCACACTCGACTGTCCCCTATTTCGTCGACGTATTCAAATCCGATCACCTCCGCGGGTTGTCTGCCACTCAGAGGACGAATCTTACCCGGTCGCTTATTTGCACCTAACTCGACTGGAACTGGAGGTATGTTAACCAATATATCCTTTGAGCAACCCAAATAAGTATTCAACGTACACCTTATTTGTTGTTTGCTCAGGACAAACCGGCAGAAAGCGTGCGCACTTCAACAGCTGATATACTATCTATTGAGGGCGTGGATCCGTTTTCTGAGGAACCGAAGTTACTTCGACCGTTCATGTCCCCAATCGATCGTCTGCGTGATCTGCGCCATCAACTTACCCTGGAGATCCGGAACGATAGGACTCGTTGCCAACTAAATTCACAATGTGTTCCACTGTCAAATCCAAGGACAAATGTGCCAACCTCAAAAGTTGAATCCAAATTTCAGACCTTCGGAAATGGTGAATTTTGGGTTACTACCATCTGTGTGGGGATTGAAAAGCCAGTAAATAGCGGTGACCTCAAAGTCCTTGGTTCGTTGACAAAACAGGTCACTCAAGTAGCCATCTCCGAACTTCAAAGTCAGTTGGGTAGGTTTTTAAGTGGTTCGCATTCTGTTTATGGTCAGTTGGAAGTATTCATCCGCTGGCGCTGAAGCCAACACTAATTTTAAGGTTGCTGGAAACTCCCCGAAGCCTGATACCGGTTTCGCCCTTTCTTCTTTGGGGCTCGTCAAGTAGGCTGTCTCCGAAACTATCATCCTTATTTCCCAATGGTACATCACACTGTACTCAAACGACGAACTATACTCATTTGCAAATTAATTGGGTGTTAACCCGTGACTCACCTGAATCGCAGCTGGATGTCTCATTTGTAGTAAGGAGAACGAAACCGGTTGTGGGCTCTCCGGAATTATCGTCGACCTTATGAATAGTGTCGTATGGAGTAGAATGCTCCGATATTCGGAATGTCGTTCCAACTGAAACATCAGGCGCCCCTTTTGTTGACTGTTGTAAACGAGCGATTCAGCTACAGTCGTTTGACTCTTGTTAACACCAGGCTAACCTACAATAAGTGTATAGCTATTATTTATGTTGGTTAATTTGGCACCTGACTCCTATTGCGAGTGTACCTGGGTGACATTATTCCATTTGGTACTTCTGTCTAGTTCACAACATTATGCAGACTTTAGTGATTTACTGGAGCATTGTGAATATCGTGGATTGTAACTACTCGTGCTTGGTGATCGGTGACAGCAACACTGAGCATGGTGGGTCAAAGTTGTAGTCCCTCTATATTAGAACAGACGACGAGCGAGCAAGTGAACTTGATATAGTGGACTCGGTTTTAGGTTAGTAGGGGGATTACGGACTTTCGGTTGGGACTTCATGCTGCACTTGAAGTTATAAATCAAGTAATCATAATCGTTAAGCTATAACACCCTTAAGGCGCACCGCTGTCACCCGAAAGGAGCACGAGGGCCAGGACACTCAGGTTGCTCAAGCTTAGACAGAAGTAGTCAAGACACCGAATAGGGTTCGAACCGTCCTGTTAGCAAGTTTTCGCTTTAACGACTGAGCTATCTCGATCAGGTGAACTTATTCTCCTCGGAAACGTCAAGATTCCTTGAAGCTGTCATCTCCTTATTGGGAATCCTCGGTGGTGCGCATCTCACAAATTTCTAGGACTTTTTGAACGAGAGCATTTCTAGCCAGTAGCTGAACACTACCATTCGTCCGCGAGTGGTTGACTAGCAGTGTGAACAACCCGCTCGTGGTTTTTCTAAGCTTTTCAGTGTAGACTGACTTTATTGGCGGGATGAAGTGTCTCTCGTTTAACTGGTAATTCTCATGGTAAATCTTGACGCAATTTCAAAGCACACAGTACTATCTAGCTGTGGCAACGTCGCGATATTTTGTTGACTCATCTGCTTTCATGTCCCAATTTGGAAATTTTTGGTGTGTAGCAACATGTACTAGTCTCTAATCACGAGTTTATCACGCCACCGTGGCTGAAACGTACTGTTCAAGATTTAGTCCGGAAGGACAGGAGTTCAAACTTCAGTAGAGGTTCGTGATAAATCCAAGAAGAATGGAATGTTGTATAGAGTTTGTTTTTCTGATCTTTTCTTCACTGGTAGTTTTAGGAGGTTCAAGAGTTTCAATAGAGATTTCGTTCTGCAGGTGAGGCCAGAGGATCAAGGAGCACTGTACACCTGTTTTGTCTTCATTGGAAACCATCAGCATTGTGCATCGCATGCACCCGCGACTTCCCAGCTGGTAACTCGAACACTTGAACGTTCATTCACAAGCGGTCGACCAGCAGTCTAATTAACTCTCACTCTTCTATGTTGAATTTATCTATCTCACCATGTTAACTCTGTCTATCTTCAGTTAGACTGGATGCTGTGCATGAGTGCTCCAATCTTAGGAGTTTTTGAAACTGCGATGGTTGCACAAAACCCTCACAACTGTGATGAACTGATTTTAAGGAGTTGTTTCTGGTGTCCTTATCCTATTTCCAAAATTGGTAGTCAGAAGAATGACTGGAGTGGCCACGTTTGAATACATTTTTGATATTAGATGTCAAAGGCTGTGTCAGGCTGTGTTGACCACATCTTCACACTCCGTCAGGTGTTAGAGCAACGCCACATGTACAGACGACCCACAATCCTGGTATTCCTTGACTTCAAGGGTGCGTTCGATTCCGTTGATCGATCAGTTCTGTTAACTACACTTGCTCAACAGGGTATGCCCCAGAAGTTTGTAAACATAATCCGATCTCTATATTCACATACTTCTGGGCGGGTGAGGGTGTATGGTGAGCTCTCCAAAAGCTTTCCTACAAAAAGTGGTGTCAGACAAGGATGCCCACTCTCCCCATTCTTGTTCAACTTCGTCATCGATGAAATAATGAGGCAAACACTGGACGGGTTTCAAAACTCCGGTGTTCAAATTGTTGCTGGCGAGAGCCTTGTCGATCTGGAGTACGCAGATGACATCGCCCTCATCTTTGAAGACCTTAGCGAAGCACAAGCCCTGTTGAATAAACTGACCGCCATCATACCATCATTTGGCATGCGCCTTGCACCTTCAAAGTGCAAAGTCCTGCTTCAGAACGTGCCATCTGCGAAC